GGCCGACTGAAAATGGGCGCCAGTATGAGTTATCGACCGAGTCATTAATCAGTTGTGCCAGTCTTTCCATGCAAAGAACAAAAAGATAGGGCGACATGGGATCCCCTTGTCGAACCCCCCTCGTGGGTCGAAATTCCTCCCCAATTGTCCCATCCACAAGACACTCATCGATGCTGAGAAGCCATGACGGCGGTAACAAACTTCTCAGGATACCCAGCGAGGTGAATAGTTTCTTCAATGAACTCCCACCGAAGGTAGTCATAGGCCTTCTCCAAGTCTACCTTAATCACCATGTACTTCTTCGCACCACGTTTGCCACGCATAGAATGTATAAGCTCTTGGGCAATAATGATGTTGTTCGTGATCTGCCTACCCGGGACAAAGCTTGCCTGAGCCGGATGAATCAAAATAGGGAGGGTACTTTTCATGCGATTGACGAGCACTTTGGTGAAGAGTTTATAAATGACATTCAAAAGGCTAATGGGCCGGAATTGTTTAATTGTAACCGTGTTCTCAACTTTCGGGATGAGCACCAATAGAGTGCGGTTGACCTGGTCAGGTACGACACCACTTTGCCACATGGTTTTAATGAAATCACGCACCGTCGACCCAACGATGTCCCAATTTCGTTGAAAGAAAATAGCATGTAATTCGTCGACTCCTGGAGCTTCTAACGGTCCCATATGGTTGAGTGCATTGGAGATTTCCTCATCATTAATATCACCAGCCATCTCGCCTAACATTGTGGCTTCGCAGACCGGGAAGAATTTTGCTGGAATGGTGCATGTCACGTGAGGTGAGGGCGCCGTGTAAATGGCGCCGGATTGGGGGTATACAGAGAAGTCGGCGTTTCTATGCTTCGAATCACTTGGTGGGGTTAGAAAAAAGACTCCGAGCAGACCTAGAAGATGTTGCAAGACAGGAAGAACTTTTGATGATACAAAAGGCTAATCGAAACTGGTCCTTCTTGGGAGATAGAAACACAGCCTTCTACCATAGACAAGTTAAGGATAGAAGACGGCGGGGACGGATCACCGCGTTGACAGATGATGAGGGTCAGAAATTTGGGTCTATTATCAAAAAACAATGTCATTCTCTTTATATGTATTTCCCGACAATTTCGGATTTAATTAGTCTATCAAAATATGATAAATGACAATTTTTTTTTTTGGTATAAGGACCTTCCGGTTTTCTGAGCCACAGGGGAGCCGACTAATCCGGAATCGAGCCAGGTAGGACCACAAGGGCGGCAAATCTCTCCCTCAAGAGTTTTAACACTGCTGCATTCCCTAAAGAAAGAAATGTTTGTATAATCTCAAGACAAATTTGGTAATGAAAGAGAGATTGATGTGGGGAAAATTATTCTGTCTCCTGGGACGCGTCAACTTCATCGGCCGCCCTGATCACCTCTACCTGTGAACCTCTCTTCAAGCTTTTTCAGAAGAATGCTCCGATTACATGGAAGTAGAAGGAATACCAAGGAAAGAAGTAACAGTAGGCTAGCACGTGAGTATACACTTTTCAAGCCAATTTTGTTTTCAAATTTTTTGTCCGAACCTAAATACAAAGCATGATATTGTGACATGTAGGATTTTAAAGCATGCGAGCTTGTCACTTAAACTCGGCACGTTTTGAATTTTTAATATATAGGGGGATTTAAATAATAACTGTTATGGGGGATCGAGAATTCGACCCTACTGTGTGGGCAACTCGAATCGTCATATTTTAGACTATAAGTTTACATGCACCTTAAATTATTGAATTTTAAATGAAAAATATTATGTAAAGATCGTAGAAAATAAATAGTATGATAAAAGAACCTTTTTTATTATTATTATTTGAAATAAATAAATTATAATTATTAATAATATTGTTATTATTATAGGTAAATAACACACAAGTTGAAACAATTCCATTTGGTTGGGACTCGTTACACATGGGTTTGTCTATTTTTAGAAAAAATATGAAAGCATCCTATGCTTGTTTTATTATTACACACATGCACACATCTGATCAACACAATAATATTCTTACTCATCATACTGACCATGTTTTTTAAAAATCATATCTTAATATCTCATATATATTAAGTATAAATTATAATCAAGGAAAATTTTATAAGGGTGAAACATCTATTACTTAAAATCAATTGTTCGTATTTTTTATGCACATAATTAATTCGGTAAGCAAATTGGACAATTGATAATTCAATATGTCAAAATAGAATGATTTTTTTTTTTATTCCTAATACAAATATATGTTAACAAGTGTTTTCATGAAAACAGTTGTCAAGACTCTTTATAGAATCAATCACAAGTAGGAATGAGTATGAGTCGGTACGGTTCGGAGATTGACAAATTTCTAGACCCGTACCAATATTCAGAAATTACTAAAATTCAATCTTCGAAACCGTACCAAAAATTCAGTTCGGTTTGGTTTGGTTTGGATATTCAAAGATTTTAAGTATTTTTAAAAAAAATTTGAACGCCCAGCAAGTTATATTTTAATTTGTATATGTTTTTTTTTTTTTAAATCCAGCATTCATCAATATTTCATCATACTAAAAATTTTATTTTTAAATTAATTTTAGTTAATTCTATATTTGTGCAACTAACATTGAAATTTTAAAATTCAAACAAAATATAATAAAGTTTTTTATTAAATAATATTTCTTTAACCTTCCATGTTAGTTATAAAATAGAATAAAACTAAGTATCGACAAATTTATGTAGTATTTGAATATTTTATTAAGAAAATATTTCTTTAACATTTCATTCCATTTTAAATATTCTTTTTAAAACATGAAAATTCCAATTGTAGATCAAGTATTAGTAAGCATAAAATTAAGTGGAGCTTAATTGTTATTACTATATTTTATTTGCATTTTAAATATTCTCAAATTGTATAGGATCAAAGTTGATATAAAATATATTAATAACACACGTCTTTTATAATTCAATTTTTAATTTCGATTCTTCGGTTCGGTACGGTATGAGACGGTTCGATTTGGTTCTCGGTATGGATATTTGTGAAATCTCCAAAATGGTACCAATTTTTTGAGTTCGGTTCGGAGAAAGTCAAACGGTCAACGGTTATTTTTCGGTTCGGAGTGATTTCGATTTGGTTTTCGGAACAGTTCGGTATCCTCTGAGTCCCATGCCCAACCCTCTTCACAACCATGCTTGTGTGTTATTATGTATCCAAAATAATTAAATTTAAAAATATGTCAATGCATTTTTCATATAAAAGCTATACATTTTTAATCCAATTCAAAAATTAAAGAACTAGTAAAAAAAATCCCCTTTTAGAAAAAGCAATTGCAAGAAAGTCAAGGCAGTTCGAGACCTTTTCAATTTCAAACAGCTTACATCATTTTTTTAAAATAAATAAATAAATAAATAAATATAAAAATAAAAAATTGTATAGAACAAATTGACAAGATAACTAATCATAATCAAAGAGCATAAATAGCCACCCTTTATTGCAATTTACAATTATATGTCCTATTCAGATCTCATTCCCTATTAAAAAAAAAACCAAAACAAAATCATGAAATTCATCTTGATACATCAACTACTGTTTTTTGGTGTACAAAAGTAACATGGTGATGACTATCTTATCTTGGCCTGGAGCTGTCTGTACACAATAAAATATCACTGTTGGTACCTAATTTGATCCCAATTTTTTGCTAAGTAGGCAAGCAATTTAACAATAAAAACATTTTCAAGAGCACAATTACTATATTTTGCCCTTCAAATTGGATATACTATGATCGATACGTATTTTGTTAGGCTGCCGAAGCAATAGGTAGTCGTACAATCGTACTCTTTCAACGTGATATTTTCATACTTAAATGTCAACTTTAAAATATAAAATAAACAAACAAAAATACGATATTTCATAGCGAAACGACATCAAAGGAGTCTATATAGTTTCCAAAAGAAAATGGCATCAAAGGAAGTAGATAAATTGATCATGTGATATATGCACAGGCCAAACAGAGCACATGAATGAGTTTCTGACAGTCAAAAACAATGATGTAAGGATGAAATTTGACCACTGTGGAAAAAAAAAAAAAAAAAAAAAAA